TTGGTTTCAACACAATTTATATTATTTATCCCTTCTTTTCTTAATTTCCTCCCAACCCCGGTATCAGTCCCGTTTTACAACAGTGGCATTAAGTAGTATTTGTCCTTTTGTGACTGAGATATTTCACTCAGCATAATGTCCTCCAGGGTCACCCATTTTGCATAGTATTTCATGAGTTCCTTGTTTTTCAATGCAGCGTAGTATTCCATTGTGTGACTATATCACAGCTTCTCTATCCATCTGTTTGTTGATGGACACAGGTTGTTTCCAACTCTTTGCTATTGTGAACAAAGCCACAATAAACATGGGTGTGCATATATCTGCTTGGGTGGCTGGTAAGATCTTGAAATGTTCTTTTAGATTATGAATGCAACACCAATCTTCCTTAATTTGTCATTTTAACAGATAAAATAATTGTATTAATTAAAGAGGCTAATGCCAGTCCATTTCAGCTTAGGACTTCGATATTTTCAAACAATACCTTCTACTTAATTTTTGAAAACCTCTTACTTTCCTATATTCATACATTCCATGTTGAAATTATTAATGGATTTTTGCCAATATTTCTCATTTCTAAATATTTCCCCTTATGTGAGGAAGTGCTACAACTAACAATGTTCCTGTTATTCAAATTCAGTTCTTAAAATCAAGTTCCTTAAACTTTTTTAGACCATAATAAATAATATTTATATGTCTCATCCCACCAATTTTTTAAATTGTTGCAATGAAATCCATCTCTTCATACAGGACTAGACGGTTACACGAAGATTTTACCCCAATACTCTGGAAATTAAGGGTAATTTAAAATGGTCTATCTTGAGTGTGATATTTGCTGGGTATTTAAAACTTTTAAAAATATTTTTATACTAGACTTTATAATACAACCATACTTGCTTTGAGAGGAAAATATTTTAAGTCCTGTCTACTCCAAGTGTAGTCTTTGGATCAGAAGCATAAGCACCACCTCAGAGTTTACTAGAAACACAGACTCTCAAAGCCTTTAATACCCCAGGGAAATTCAAACAGAACTGGCATTTTTATAAGATCAGGAGATAATTTGTATGCACATTTAAATGATCGCTCTTAAGATACATTCTCTCCTCCAGGATAATTCACCAGGTTTGAGTCTTTGCCTGTTTAGTCTCAACTCCTAACGGAATGAACAGTGGTAACTCAACATTTTGCTTCCCTGCTTTGTGTCAGCAAAGCCAGATTCCTCTGGCTCCTTTGCATTTCAGTGTGATTTTAATTTTCTTAAAAGTTGCCTGCTGTCTCTTTCATTTATTTCTATATCATCCTTTCAGGACTTTCAAATCTGAGCCTTCACACCATCTTTTAAACATTTTTATCCTTTGATATTCCAATACAAACTCCAAACACTTTTTTTCTGTAAATGAGAGCTCCATTATTTCTAGATTGTCTTCATTTCTATTATAATTCTGTCTCTACTCTTACCAAAATATTTTATTAAAGACCTTTTTAGGTTAGGTTTACCATTCTTTTTAAAGTTAACAAATAAAGGTTTAATATCAACAAACATTTAAATGTGTAAACTAAAGTTTACTTGTGAAACAGATATGCATAATATCATAAAGAGGTCCTGTGGAACATGTACAGTTAACCAAAATATTTAAATTTGTGGTTTTTTTCTTAAGTGCACAACAAAAGAGAATTAATGTTTTTAGAATTTTGAAACCTTTAACCAACTTTTTAATAATACAACTTAAATAGTTTAAAAAATATCCACAGCAAAAACAAACAGTAACATAAGAAAGTACATGCAATATCACAGAATTGTTAAACATTTAAAACTGTCTACATTATCTTCAGGATTATCGTTCTTGCAGAAGACGTAGGATACTGATTTCAAAATTAAGCAATTAATGACACATTTTTATAAGCAGCTTATTTTATTTGACTGAAAATAAGTAACTATGATGTGTTGAACTACTGATTCTATTTAATATATCTAATGATACAAAACAAAAATAAGGAGTCATGGTAAAAATTTTTTACCTCACTTTCGAGAAAGAAAAGAACGAGCATCCTAATAAGGTTCCCATTGGGACTGTTCCGTCCCCTCCTCTTTGCTAACGCTTCTTCTGCTTGAGGGTCATGTCTACTGAACAGTCTGGAAATCACAAAAGGAGAGCATTACATATAGGTACAGACACTAACAGTCTTTGTCTTCACTATACAAAATTTTTCATATTATAGTTATATTACTGATATTTCAATAGAAATATGAAACATATCTTCAAAGGTCAAAATATAAGTATCCAGAATTTCATACTGTTCAACATTCTGTAACTATTATGTCCAGTCAGCTACAACTCATAAAGGCTCTGTTAGCACACCAGAACTTGGCCCTATTTTGCACCATCGTCAGGATCTCTGCCACGGTCTCAAGGACACTGCTGCAGCCACTGTGGAAAATCCATTTTGTTGAGAGTTGCCTTCTTTGCAGATAGTCTACCTTTGCCACATAACATCTCTGTCCAAGTTTTGGTCCCGTCTGACAACATGTCCAAAGTAAGCAAAATGAAGGTCCACCATCTTGCCTCTAAAGGAGCAGGAGGTTTCACTTTTTCCAAGACAGATACAATTTTTCTTTTGGTAGTACAGAGTAGAGAAGCACTGGTGGCCTAGGGGCAAGAAGCTGCACTGTAATCCCGAAGACATGTGGTTCGAATCCACCAGCTGCTCCACAGAAGAAGATGGGCAGTCTCTTCTTGTATGATTAACTGTCTCAGTTCCAACTTGAAGGTACACAACAACAATAACAGTACAAAGTTTATTCAATAACTTTGCTAACACCATAATTAAAAGGTATTTATTCTTCCCTGGTTTTCTGTATTAAATACCCAATGTTCAGATGCAAAAGAAAGAACTGAAAATACCAAGGCTTGGCTAAGGCACACTTTATGGTTTTAAAAGACATCCTTGGTCTTTAGCACTTTAAAAGACCCCAATGAGGTCCTTAAGAGCAGATCTGTTTAATGCAACACATGACAAAATATAATTTATCCGTCTTTTCTATCATGGATGGTACTACCAGAGGTGTTGACTGTGGATCCAAGTAAAACGAAGTCATTCATAACAATCTTTTTCTCCATCTACCATGATGTTGCCTACTGAACCAGTTAAGATTTTCATTTTCTTGAAGTTCAGATGAAATCCATGTAGAAGGCTATAATGTTTGATCTTCTGAAGCATGTGCTTCCAAGTCTTTTTCACTTTCTGCAAGCAAAAATTAATGCAGGCTGTTTATTATTTCTCCAATTCTAATGCCACATTCTTCTTTGTACAGTCCAGTTTTTCAGATTATTTAATCAGTATATAGACTGAAAAAGTACGAAAAAAGGATACAACCCTGATGCACATCTCTCCTGATTTTATACCAGGCAGTGTTCCCCTGTTTGAATTACTGCTTTTTTTATCCATGTGTAGATTTCATACGAGTACAATTAAGTGTTACGGGATTTCCATTCTTTTCTCAATGCTACTCATAACATTTCCCTTTATGCTTCTTATATATCACCTATTACCAATTATTAAATTTTACTACTCTTTAATTCCTACCTATCCCTGGCAAACATGCAAAAATTATTGTTGTTCTTGCTGAGTACTGTAGAGCCAGAACCAGTGGTTTTAGATAACCTTTGTCTTTTAACGACCTACAGTAAAATACAGAATTTCACATTAAAAGTTAAAGGTTTGTTTTGGATATAGTGTATTAATTTATTATATTTGATTAAGATTGTTCATATGTATGGATTTTCAAATTTAACTATAAAATCCCAAGAAATATTTTAAAATAGCTGATTAATAAACTGTATTGCTACATATTTAAATTTTTACAATTTATTAAAATACAAGGGAACAGTTAACGTCTTGATTTTACCATAAAACACTCAAATTTCAACAAATATCTCCAACTGAGAAAAAAATACGGTCTTGTTATTGTTGCGAGGTGCCATCCAGTGGACTTGGAGTGACAGCAATCTTATGAACAACAGATTGGAACCTGTTAGGAACAACTGATTGGTGGTATTCTACCAACCACTGTCTTGATCTCTATAATCATGAAGTCCTGTTATAGTCATCGAGTCAATCCATCTACCTAAGGGTCTTCCTCTCTTTCTCTGACCCTCCAACTTTTCCCAGCATGATGTCTTTTTGCAGAAACTGATCCATGGAAATGTATGTGACGAGAAGGTTCACCATACTTGCCTCTATGGAACACCTTAGCTGCACTGCTTCCCAGAAAAAAATTTTGTTCTTTTGGCAGCTCATGGGATAGTCAGGACTATTCCCCAACACCGTAATTCATTTCTTGTTCGTCTTCTTATTCATTGTTCAAATTTCAGCTATATAAAGCAATGGAAAAATTTCATGTGCTGGGATCAGGCACATCTTAGTCTTTTACCTAACATCCCTGTTCTTTAGTATGTTGGAGAAGTCCCAGAGAGCGGATTTTCCCTATCAACACATCTTTTGATTTTCTGACTGCTGTTACCTTCAGTGTAGACTGTGTATGTAAATGAGAGAAAATTATTCATAACTTTCATCTTTTCCCTATATATCCTAATGTTGCCTACTGGTAAACTTTTGTTTTCCTGGTGTTGAAATGCATCCCATACACAAAGACTGTAATCTTCTGCAGCAAGTGTTTCAAATCTTTCATTTTCTGCAAGCAAGGCTGTGCCATCTGTACAATGCAGACTGTGATGAGTTTTTTCCTAATTCTGATTCCACATTTCTCACCATATGGTCCAACTTCTTGAATGATTTCCTTAGAATACAGATTAAATAGGTATGAAGAAAGGATATAACACTGATTTAGTGATTTAGCACACCTTTCCTGATTTTAAACCATGACTTACTACATTATAATGCTTCTTGGTTTATGTACAGCTCACTTTCACATAAGCACAATTAAGTGTTGTGGGATTCCCATTCTTCTCAATGTTAGCCATAATTTGTTATGATCCACACAGTCCAATGTCACTGCACAGTCAATATAACACAAGTCAACAATGTTCTGATTTTCTCTGCTTTCAGCAAGACACACTTAACACCAGCAATTAATATTCCTAGGTCCAGAGCCTCTTCTGAATACAGCTTATCATAGTTCTCTATGATTGTACCATTTCAGTTGTTTTTGAATGAAATTCAGCAAGATTTTACTTAATATTAATGATATCATTAGATAATTTCCACATTCTATAGATCACTTTAATTTGGAACAAGAATAAATACGAATTTCTTCAGTCAGTTTACAGAAAAATACACTACTGATAAAAACTATATATATATCTAATTATTATATAT